TTCTTGCTCGAGGGGGCGGCACCATTCTGGTGCGGCCGCACTGTGCTGATGTCAGTGTCGAGGTCCGTCTCCAGCAAACCGACCGTTGGCGGATCGATACGGGACATACTCGTGCTGTCCTGCTTCCCGTGAAGCTGCAACCCGCTCACAACGTTAGTCGCCAGCGGCGCAGGGCGTCGGCGCGGGGACGGCACCGGCTTATTGGCGTTCCCGACATTACGTGGCGGTAACGGAGGTAAGGGCGGTTTGCTCGATACGACGACGTCTGGCGTCGGTTTTCTTTCTACTTCGTCTGGTGGCGGGTGCAGAGGGATAATGGTCACGTCTTCGTACTCCGCTCCGGTCACGGCGCCAGGCTGTTTCTCACATGAACGCTTACTTTTAACGTCCGCTTTCTTCTTCTCTTCTTTCTGTTTCTTCGAGGAGCCATTGTTACCCACGACGCGGCCACTGAGTCTCCTCAACGAGAATCTCTGGAAAAATCCCCCGAACTTACCACCACTCCCGCTGCTCTTCTTACTGGTCGTGTTGGAGCTGGTGGACAAATCACTGTCGCGCCGCGAACTTTCACTGCTGCACTCGCGACTACTGCCATGAGCTATCTGCTCTTTGGTCTCCATGGACACGACTTGAACTGCTGCCGCATTTGGTGTGTTGCTGCTTGTTGTGGCAGACACGTGATCCTCATTGCTAGTGGGCGTAACCGGCCTGCTGCCGCCACTATCCTGTTGCTTTAGCTCCATGACCACACGCTCCCGTTCGGTCGACCCAGGACCCACTGGCAAGCCTATTTGTATCTTCTGCAGCAATGGGAACGTTGAATCTTCGCCCTTCTCCAACGCATTCACCCCTCTTTCCACCTCCTCGTCATCTCTGTCTTCCTGTGGATCGTCGTCGCTGTAACTGTCTCTCCAGCTGACCTCTGACACCACTGGAGAGAAGTGCACCCCTTTGCTGGCAGCTGCACCACGTACCGGTAGAGGTGTCAAGCTTTTAGAAGCCTGTTCTACACTTAATGCCAGTTCGTTGTTACTGTCACCAGAGGACGACTTCAATGGCACTTGAATCATAGATGAATAAGTCTGTTCATTTTTCAGAAACTCTTCCTGAGTGCTGTACATAAGATTAGGTGTGCTGGCGACTGGAAACCTGGTTGCCATGTTGTATGTGTTCACGTGTTTGTCCGCGTTCTCATCAGCAACTTCTGTGGCATCACTCTGTTGCTGGCTGGGGTTCGCTCTTTCTTCACCCAAGCAGAGACAGAGATTATCGGGAACACTGCTTAGGTGTTCACTGTTCTGCGTTGTCCCGCACACTGGTCCTGGCACTGGGAATGTGCCTAATCCTCCTGCTTTCCTCCACTTCTCCTCTCCTAGCAGAAGACTTGGAGCACTTTGCCAACAGCTGCTGTTAAATTTAGCTTCCTCAACACCCCACCCTCGCCTCTCTCTAAATTCAGACTCACGTTTTAATTTTAGCGTCTTCTTCTTCGTAGTTGTCGTTGGTGTTTTCCTTTCTCCGCGTTTCTCTTGCTCTGATGTTTCGCTGCTTGCAACACCGCCACTACCACTTCCGGTGCTGCTGTCAGAATAATAAGATGAACACGAATCTTCGTCTTCGATAATGGTACTTACAGTACCGCCTCGTGCGTTTACACTTGGTGACGTCACACCGGCGGGGATACAGTGATCTCCGAAGCCACTGTCCTCACTTAGATTCTCTGCGGATCTCTGAGGTTTAGCCTCAACTGATGGTTCATTTCCACCACCACCGTCGCTTGTTTCATTATTCATAACAGACGCCGTTTCCGGAACAGCGCCATTTTTTGTTGCCGGCGGAGAGCGCGTTACATCTGTCACCGCTGACGTCGATAGATCAGTTGTTTTCTCGAACTCCGGCTGCGGTGGATGGTTGAGAAGAAGCGAGTTACTGGTAAAAGTCTGCGACATTTCGGCGAGGGAATGCTGGGGCTGCAGCAAATTGAGACTGTCAAAGCTTCTAAAGGACCTGAGCCGGCTACGTGACGACCACGACGAATGCTGGAGGGTGTCGTCCGACGATGCACCTTCATCGCTACTCAAAGCTTCGAAGTCACTACCGGAAATTTCCTCGGGTAGGTCTTCCAAAGAATCAGGTGAAGCAGAGAACCTCCAGCGATTGGATTCAAGGGAGTCGAAACTAAAACTTGACATCACGGAGGGGGACGGAGGGGGAAAGGGTGAAATGTCCTGAAAAGGGTCGGATGTCGCAGAAGTGCGAAAAATATCCTCGCAGTGTTTCTCTAGGCATTCAAACTGCAGTAGACTGGACGAACGTGATGACAGAGAAGCCGACTCGCCATCGTGGTCCATGGAGCCATCTTCGTCGTCCACGTCTTGCTGGTCTGTTGTTCGGCGGCGACGTTTCTTGGGCACCGCGAGATCTCGTTCCGAGCCGCTCCACTCAGTTGGATCGCAATCATCTGAAACCACAGCAACGAGCCGTGCTACTGACGGTCAGCGGACCAACAAATCCAGCACCTAACTGGTTATACAAAAAGCATTACAGGAACAAATACAATTTAGAAAGGGGATAAATTAATAATAAATTCCAAATACTTCCCTTTAATAAAAATTACACAGAATTACTACATAACAACAAAGAAATAAGTGAGACGGATTATAGAACATACCTGGCAAAAAATCAAATATAAACCTAAAATAAAAGCAAACATGCAAGAAGTTATCAATTAACTACCTCCATGGACCTGAGTGCTTCTTGAGAAGCTGATAGAATGCTCAGCTAGTCAAGAAATTTCTCGCCTTTTTCGAAATCAGAAAGCACATTACCGTGTTCGTAACAGCCCGCTACCGGTGCCTGTCCTGTGCAAAATTAGTACATTCATATTTTCCCAAGATCCATTTTAATATTATCCTACCATCTATGCCTAGGTTTTCCGAGTGGTCTCTTCACGTCAGGCTTTCCAACCTCCCCATGCCCCGCCAAAGCGTTTCTAATAATATTTGGAGTACAAATTATGGAACTCCTCATTACGCAGTTTTCTCCACCCTCCAGTCACTTCATCACTCTTAGGACCAAATATCCTTATGAGCCTCCTGTTCCAAGCCAACAAACTGACAACAGGATAGATAATTTACAATACGTACGTAAATTATATAATTTTAAACTGTGGGAAATAATAAATGGAAGTTACCGGAACATTTTTTAACTTGCCTGCATATTTTGTCCACTGCAAATGAGCATAATGAGTCCATTCTAATGGCCATAAATTACAGCTCCGTCACTATCATATTCACATTACTTAAAAACACTTTCCTGAATATTTCCTTCCTTACTGTCCTTCAGCAGACCTGGTCAAATTAACAACTGCTTCCATTTGTTTAGAAGGCGCGTGTCAACACATAACGAACTGTTTCAAGCAGAACTTATTAGCACGTTTACAATCTCTTGCAAGAGCGCCTCAAGCATCGTCAGTAATGGACCCGGCCTTGAAGACGGGATATGCCTCGTTGTTGTACTTTCAGAGCGACGCCAAGCCCCACATACATTTCTAGCGGAAGCCAAGGAATTTTCGATTTTATTCAATAAGACGCGGTACACTACCGCGTTCTAGAAAGGAGCATTTCTGGTGGGAACAGAATCTGATTAAATTCCGTCATATTGTTTAATTATTCTTCAGATATCAACGTGAAATTGATACCGTTTATTGGTGACACACAGGGTTCCATTCAAAACGCAACTCCTAATATTAATCGTATTTGTAATTGTTTTGACAAACATAGCATTTTGTTCTTCTTGTTCTAGTGTGAGCGAAGAACACCTCATGGGCCCGTCCATGTTTGTCTCTCGCGTTTTTCCTACGGGGGGGTGTGTAATCTGCATGACTGAGGTCAGAGTTATGCAACAATAGGTTGCCATTCAATGACTCATTTGGCCCCTGACAGGTACCAGTGACGGGCCCATATGAACATGTTCCATAAAATGTTGGAATTTCTTCCGTGGGTGAGAGACTGTTGGCTCCTCAGGAAGGTCTCGGCTCCATGGAGTAAGTATGGATCCCATTCGTGGGCAATGATAGGATTAGATGTCATTGTTGGCACATATCGTTTCACGACAACTATCTCAGATCATGATGCAAGAATGGCTTAAAGTGTAACAATGACTGTATCACATTACTGCAATAACAGTCTATGTGTTGTGGCGCGACGAAAGCCTCTAAAATGCCAGCGTACTCCAAAGAATATGCCCTTCCAAACTTGTTACATGATGGGCATCTTTACAGCATATGCTAAAATATCCACAGAGTTTGCGCAACTGGGGTGAGCAGCGGCCTAGCAAGAAATGTGAAAGTGACTTGAACGTCACGGGGGAGGTTCATAAAGTCTATTATATGGGGGTGGACAGCATTTGATTTCATGTTCATACCGTACAAGAGATTGTTGCTGGGTTGCTTTTTAAATGTTGCACCTGTAGATTTCATCCTGTACATTCTTGTGCCCTCGGTGGTTAGCTTGCTCGCCATAGCACCCAAGGTTCGTGGGTTCAATCCCGGCCGAGGTCGATGGATTTTTAAGGGTGCACAACTTCCTTAGGAGGGGAAGTAAAGCCGGCGGTCCCATGTCGTAGATTTACGGCATGTAAAAGAATCTTACGAGCATGAACGAGATGTTTCGTAAGAAAAATTCAGCGGCCATTTCTCACCCAAGTCTCTCCTGATTCACTAATAGATGGCTCTGGCAGTCAAATCAGGATTGAGTAGAAATTGTGCAG